ACGGACCTGGCTTGACACAGGCTTCGACCACGATCTTTGATCGGGTTCCAACATAAAACTAAACAAGCTTGCTTGAGCAAAAATGAGTCGTCATAAAATTCTCTGCCATAAGGCTTTTTGGAGACTTCTCCAAGGCAAATGCATGAAATGACGCATGAAACGGTGCATGAAATGTGCGTTTGATGCATGATGATAATAGGAAAATTTGTCTTGGATGCAAAAATAGAGTGAAATCACTTGCATTTATAAAAACTTGGGATTGTTCAGATAGCTCGATCACCGCATTTCGCCTTCCTTCAAAAATCCTTTTAACTGGATCGAGAGTAACCAGAACAAATGGGACGACGACTTTGCCCTGATAACTTTGTAATGTCGTACTTGCCCCAATGTTCTAGAGAACAAAATGTCCCTCGGGCTTCTTGTGCCCTTATGTTTGATTTCGAGTAACGCATAGCCTTGGAGACGTGAAAAAGCTAGCGTCCTTCGTATATAGAAAGAGACGAATGGAGACCAAACTTTATAAATGACAAGAGACACACGTCTCAAAGATGTGGTGTAAATTTATAGGCTATAATAGAGAATGGATACACAAAACTGCCTTTCAAGCATAATACTGAGATCAAAGTGAAATTTTTTGAAATACATCATAAACTATGCATAATATTTTCGAACATGATCTGAGTTGACTGGATTTAAAAATTCAGTGCCATCCATGTTGGCCAGAACTAGTGCTCCTCCGGAGAAAGCCTTTTTCACCACAAATGGTCCTTCATAATTTGGGGTCCATTTGCCTCGATGATCTTTCTGTAATGGGAGAATTCTTTTTAGAACTAAATCTCCCTCTCTAAACCTTCTTGGGTGCACCTTCTTGTCATAGGCTTTCATCATTCTTCTTTGATAAAGTTGTCCTCTGCATAATGCCGTCAACCTCTTTTCTTCTACAAAGTTTAGCTGCTCATAACGTCTTTGGACCCACTCAGCCTCTTGTAACTTAGCTTCCATGATAACTCTCAATGATGAAATTTCTACTTCAATAGGGAGAACAGCTTCCATACCATAAACTAAAGAAAATGGCGTTGCCCCAGTTGAAGTACGGACTGAGGTGCGGTAACCATGTAAGGCAAATGGAAGCATTTCATGCCAGTCTCTGTAAGTTACAGTCATCTTTTCAACTATTCTTTTTATGTTTTTATTGGCGGCTTCTACTGCACCATTCATCTTAGGTCGATAAGGGGTTGAGTTGAGATGTTTGATCTTAAACTGCTCACAGAGCTCACTCATCAATTTGTTGTTCAAATTCCTTGCATTATCGGAAATTATGGTTTCAGAAAGACCATAACGACAAATAATTTCCTTCTTGAAAAATTTGACTACAACTCCTTTTGTCACATCTCGGTAAGAAGCTGCTTCTACCCATTTAGTAAAATAATCTATGGCTACCAAAATGAATCGGTGCCCATTTGATGCTTTAGGTTCGATAGGTCCTATCACATCCATGCCCCACATAGAGAAAGGCCAAGGAGCTGTCAAAGTATGCAAATGAGAAGCAGGAGCATGAGTCTTGTCCGAGTAAATTTGACATTTATGACATTTTCTTGCATATTTAATACAATCTGTCTCTATAGTYAGCCAGTAATAGCCAGCTCTTAAAATTTGTCTAGCCATCATGTGTCCATTTGCATGAGTGYCACACACTCCTTCATGAACTTCTTCCATAATCCTATTGGCATMTCTTCCTTCGACGCACCTTARGAGAACCATGTCATGGTTTCTCTTGTACAGTATCTCTCCGTTTAAGAAAAACTTCATTGCCAACTTGCGAAGGGTGCGCTTATCATTTTCTGAAGCATTTGGTGGATAMTCTTTACTCTTTATATATTGCTTGATGTCATGAAACCAGGGGTTACYGTCGGGTTCTTCCTCAATGCTCATACAAGAAGCTGGGACATCTCTCCTCCCAACTTTAATCGGACGGACATCCTCATTGAGTTCTAAATTGAACATCACCGCTAATGTTGCCAATGCATCTGCTACTTGATTATTTTCTCTTGGCAAATAATCAAATGAGATTTCATCAAATTCTTGTGACAATTATGTTATGAGTTGTTTGTAAGGCAACAACTTAACGTCTCTTGTTTCTCATTCTCCTCTTAGTTGATGAATTACTAGCATAGAATCCCCAAAAACTTTAAGTTTCTTAACCTTCATATCAACAGCAGCTTGGACGCCCATCGAGCATGCTTCATACTCGGCCATATTATGTGTGCAGTCAAAACATAATCTAGCGGTAAGAGGGTATAGTTCCCCTTTTGGTGATATCAAAATAGCCCCAATCCCATGACCTAACTCGTTAAAGGCACCATCAAACATCATGGTCCAAGTTTGCGGGTCTAAACTTTCCTCACTTGCAGTTATGGTGGAGATATACTCATCTGGAAAATCGAACTTTACCGGTATGTAGTCATTTATAGGTTGTTGAGCTAGGTAGTCGGCCAAAGCACTCCCCTTAATAGCCTTTTGAGTCACATAAACAATATCATATTCGGACAAGAGGACCTGCCACCTTGCAATTCGACACGAGAGAGACGGCTTTTCAAAAATGTACCTTATGGGTTCCATCTTTGAAATGAGCCATTTGGTATAATACAACATGTATTGTCTTAGACGTCGAGCAACCCAAGCTAGAGCACAACAAGTTTTTTCTACTTGAGAGTATCTAGTCTCGCAATCGGTGAACTTCTTACTTAAATAATATATAGCCTGTTCTTTCCTGCCTGAATCATCATGCTGCCCTAGTACACATCYCATTGAGTTTTCAGTCACTGTGAGATACAAAATAAGGGGTCGTCCTGGAGTTGGTGGCACAAGAATTGGRGGGTCTTGCAAATACTGCTTAATCTTATCGAATGCTGCTTGACAATCTTCACTCCATACCCCATCGTTGTTCTTGCGGAGCAATTTAAAGATGGGTTCGCAAGTTGCTGTTAAGTGAGATATGAACCTTGCGATGTAGTTGAGTCGTCCTAGAAATCCTCTGACTTCTTTCTGCGTCTGTGGAGGTGGCATCTCTAAGATTGCTTTGACTTTATCCGGGTCAACTTTAATGCCTTCTTGGCTTACTACAAAACCAAGGAGTTTTCCAGTGGTTGCCCCAAATATGCATTTGTTGGGATTGAGTTTCAATTTGAACTTCCTCAATCGATCAAACAGCTTCCTTAAAATAGTTGTGTGCTTCTCGCCCTGTTTTGACTTGGCAATCATATCATCCACGTAAACTTCAATTTCTTTGTGCATCAAGCCATGAAAGAGAGTAACCATGGCACGCTGGTAGGTTGCCCCAGCATTTTTTAGCCCAAATGGCATAACTTTGTAGCAGAAAGTTCCCCATAGCGTAATGAATGTGGTTTTTTCACGATCCTCGGGTGCCATCTTGATCGGATTGTAGCCTGAGAACCCATCCATAAAGGAGAAGGTTGAGAACCCAGCAGTATTATCAACCAGCACATCGATATGAGGAAGCGGGAAGTTGTCTTTTGGACTTGCACGATTCAAGTCTCTATAATCAACACACATTCTTACTTGTCCATTTTTCTTTGGTACAGGGACAATGTTTGCCACCCACTCAGGGTAATTAGATACCGTAAGGAACCCTACATCGATTTGCTTCCTTACTTCATCCTTTATCTTGATCAACATATCTGGCCTCATTTCCGGTAACTTCTGTTCACCGGCATGAACTCTGGGTTGATCGGCAATTTGTGCACTACGATGTCTGTATCTAAACCAGGCATATCCTGATTGGACCAAGCAAAAACATCAGCATACTCATGAAGTAACTCTATCAACTTTTTGCGACTCTCTGAAGACATATGAGTGCCTATTTTAATCTCTTTGGCTTCGGCTTGTGATCCCAAGTTAAGTGTCTCAGTTAATTCTTCATGGGGTCCCAACATTTTTTCTTCTTCTTCTAGCATTATCAATAACTCAGCAGAGGGCTCGTCATCTATTTCCTCATCAGATTCGATATTGTATATAGGTGTATCGAGCTCGTATTTCGAATCATTATCGCATTCAATCTCAGTATTACTGTTTAAGACATAATAAAGGAGAAAAGAAAAGAAACAGAAATAAATGAATAAATTGGCCCAGAAAATAGTAGAGGAAGGAAACAAAGTGAATGAACTCAAACTTTATTGATATGAAAGAATTATAAACAAATAATGGGTCTGGATGGAATGTACATGAAATAGAAAATTAATTTAATTAATTAAGAAAATGAGGGGAAGGAAAAAAARTGGACAATTACTTTKATTTATTATTTACAAAAGACGGTAGCTCTATCACGCTCCAATTGCTCAGCTCGAAACCGTCTGGACACAGGTAGACAAAAGGTCCGACTTGCTCTCTTTCTTCTGTCACTGCTGCCACTACAGAGCTCTCATCGTACTCTTGATGGATTGTCCCGGCACTTCTGAAAGAGTGGGTGAGAGGTGGAACAATCCTCCTAGGGTAATCACGCTCCTCATTCTCAAATCTTGAGAGGCGTTTTGCTTTTTCCAGACTCCGCACTCTAATGATGTCGCCTCTACTTAGTTTATACCCCAACCCGAACTTCTTTGTATTCTTAGCCATCCTCAGCAGTTTGTCTAAGCTCTCATTGTCTCCTTTAAAGGCGGTCTCTAAAAGTCGTGACTTAGGTCTTCCAAACTTTCCATGTAAAGTTGTTGCATTTTCAATCTCGAATGATTGGAATGAAGACTCAAAAGCTTCTTCTGTTGCTTCAACGTATGGCATCGAAGCAAGCCTTGAGACTAGAATGTCTTCTTGTCCCGATATGATCACTAACTTTTGGTCAATCGCAAACTTAATTTTCTGATGTAAAGTGGATGGAACTGCTCCTGCCGAATGTATCCTAGGTCGCCCCAGCAAGAAACTATAAGCTGATGTGATGTCCATAACCTGAAATGTTCTGTCAAAGGTGCAAGGACCTATCTGGATCGGGATCTCAATATCCCCAACAAAAGCGCTGCGAGCTCCATCGAAAGCTCTTACTATCACAGTACTAGGTCTCATATGGGACATATCAACGGGTAACTTCTCTAGCGTGGATCTTGGCATTATGTTTAAAGAAGATCCATTGTCCACAAGGACTTTTGCTATTAGGAAGTTTTTACACTTAACTGAGATGTGGAGAGCTTTGGTATGTCCTGTACCCTCTGGTGGTATCTCCTCATTTGTAAAAGTGATGGAGCTAGATGTCATTATATTCCCCACAACGTTGCTCAAATTATCCACTGTGATGTCTTGTGAAACAAAAGCCTGTTTCAAGGCCTCTAACAGTGCATTCCGATGCGCTTCAGAGGATAACAATAAAGATAATATAGAGATCTTTGCGGGTGTCCGACCTAATTGTTCAATAACTTTGTATTCACTTTGCTTCACTAGCTTCAGAAACTCTTGAGTCTCTTCCTCGGACACAGGTTGTTTAGGACTTACATCCTTTACAACAATTGCCTCCACCAGTTCATCATGGACATCCTCGTGGAGTTTGGCCTTCCCTTTCTTATCCTCTTCCACTTTCTCCTTCTTCTTCTCACTTGCTTTTTCTTTATTCTTTTCACTAGTAGTTTCATTCACGCGCTTTAGCAGGCTATCCGGTGTATAACATCTCCCAGTTCGTGTCAAACCTCCCACTCTAGTGATATTGTCAACTGGGAGTGAAGGAGATGATACATCTTGCCCTACAGTTACCTTGCACTCATATTTTCAAGGCACTGCTTTGGAACTTTTATACTCGAAAGGAGCTGGGACCGTGATAGTGATTGGTTTCCGACTGCAGCTAGGTGCATCTGGCTTTTCACGGTAAAAGATGGTGAGGGGTTTTGGTTTAATAGAATCACTTGAGCCCTCAGCAACCAAGATATCTTCCACAACATTTGTCCGTTTCTTCTGGTGAGAATTTGCAACAGTAAGGATTTTTGAGTCTAACAACTCTTGAACTTTCAT